GTGAAACATCTTAAATGTCGCCCAGGGGACGATGATTTACTGGAGCTTTACGGCTTATTCAAGCAAGCTAACGAAGGTGACAACGACACAAGTAAGTAGTATTCACTTTATTGCTGTGGTCTAATCGTATTTCCAATTTTTCAGCCGCTCCTTTTTTCATTGATTTCAAGGCGAAGGCGAAGTGGAATGCTTGGAATGGACGAAAAGGTATGCCTCATTTATCCTAGTGATCCTAATTGCATTTTTCATCGTCTTAAAGCCGCTTTGTAGCTGACTATATTGCGGTTGTCGAGGATGACTGATTTCGGGTGTGCCGTCATAGAAACTGGTTTTTCATCATCCTCGTCATCATCATGATCAGCTGTAAGAACCGCATACTAGTTGTACAATGGCTGTAGCTGCCACAGTTTCGTTCACCGATGATTTGGGAGGTGGGGTAGGTAGTTGCACACTGAAGGCGGGAACTGTATAAATGCAGGGCTGTTAGTGGACTTTTAAGTGTGACGTTACAACAAGAAGAATTCCTCCCGACCTTTTATCTGTCTGTGACGGGTTCCAAGATCTCCACAGGACATGCTCTACTGGTATTTATGTTTGTGAGACGATCCTATCAGCCGCACTTAGCATTTGGATGTTTGAGAAAACTACAACTGGGTTTGATTCTAGAAGCACCTTCCTTTCCGTTCTGGTCACAATACTGCCCGTATAACCACCAGACTACAGTGTTGAAAAGTGGACTTAGTGCGTCCAGAAAGTCGGTGAAACCTCCGGAGGACTGTTCAATCTAGTCCACAAGAAACCCAGAGGTAGATGAAACAGGAAGAGGACAACGACCCGCCAATAACAGTAGGCCCAACATCTAAGACATTTGGCCACTCGGTTCCTTAACTTGAAACGGAATATTGAGCGGAGAACAGTTGAATCCGTTCGGTTTCGGAAGTATATGAGTACACATCTAACCAAAATGTCGCCGAGCTTTTGTGTCGGCAGTTGTCTGTGCAGTCCAAATTCCCCATGTCCACTTAACGTTATTGAGCGGAAGTTGAATCCGTTCGGTTTCGGAAGTATATGAGTACACATCTAACCAAAATGTCGCCGAGCTTTTGTGTCGGCAGTTGTCTGTGCAATCCAAATTCCCCATGTCCACTTAACGTTCGGCTGAGCGGATACTGTCCCAGGTACCTGGGTTCAGGAGGTAACTATCCATCTTCAAAAAGTGTAAGATATAGATACAAGTAGAACGAAGACGCGCGCTTGAATTTCGACCCATAGTCAAGGCGCATTCATCTCTGTTGATCGACGGTTGCTCAACACAGTGCACCATAGACCTGTGAGTGCAGTCTGTTATCCACATTGTAGGTGTATGGGAGTTGTACAGACTTCAGCTCTTTTCTTCAAACAACGATTTAAGCGCATGCTTAAATGTTCAATTTCAGCGTCCATAAAATGATGGTGCGGGCGTTGTAGGATCCCCATTCTTGGGTTTCCTGTTTTTACTCTCGGTCATGGGGTCTTAAACTGTGGCTCCTATGTTAATTACTCAAGTTACTATGATTGTGAATCTTACAATATTGTATGTGTTACGGCTCTGTCTATTATTTAGTTTTTCTCCTTTCGCGATATATCAATACCAAGACAGTCTGGGCATGTATTTGGCTCATTCGCTCCTTTCGCAGACTGTGCACTGGCAAAATCTTCATGGGATGTCCTTTAATTATGTATATGGCGCTTAAAATGTAACATTTAGGACCACCTACTTATTGTTGGTTGATGTAATCAAGCTGATTGGTGTTATCTGGGGTGATGAAAGTGTCGGTCGCTTTAGTACGTTATTATTTCCTATCATGAAATGCACACCCTGGTCATATGGTTGTGTGGGAATTTGCCGTGAGGCGATTCCGTACAAAATAGCACGATCATTCTAGATAAGTACAAAAGGGTATTAAATATGTAAGGTTGTATTACTAACCTGCAAATGTGTCCCGGAAAATTTATGGTTTGATTGGAAAAGTCGGTGTTTCGATCCGGATCGTGAACTATGTACTGTATTTGTCTTCGTCATGGCTCTCTACAGGTATGAGCAAGGAAGATGCCAAAAAACAATACATTGAAGCCGCAACCAAGTGCATTGAGAAATACGGTATGGCCTGAGGCTCAAGGCGCTATTAGCTTAACAGGTTGTGATGATTTGCTTTTTATACTTTTGTTCGTTCGTTCAGACAATTTGGTTTGAAATACAAAAAAAAATTCATAATTTTAAAGTGTTATTTTCCCATAAAAAGTTTGGAGATACTAATTCCTCACTGAGTTACCTAGGTCGTTAAATTAAGTGCACTTCATTTCTAGCCCTCCAACCTCCATACTTTATTTTTCTTTATTATTCAAAGCTAACAAACCTGTTTCATACGTCCACACTTGAAGGCCGATAGTATGCAGACCGGGAACATGAAGAGCAGATAGAGGAGAGCCTACAATTGAGACTTAAGCACACAACTTCAGTGACCCTTTGTTGGTTGTGGTATATTGGAGTGATGATTTCAGGGAAAACTCTGTCAGCTCTTGCTGTTCAGTCAGTTTGATCAAATTAATCGTTGCTCAAGAGTGGAGCACGTATCCCAACAAACTGTAAGGGTGTATGACGGACCGGGACAGATTGTAAGCACATTTTTGTCAAACATGGCGACTAGCTGAAGATACTCCCATAAACCTAGAGAGGCTTTTGTGCACACTATTTGAGGAAAAAAACTGCCATAGACACATCTTCATAGCGCTAGATTTATCTTATATATGCCACTGGAAACAGTCACCCGGCTGTTAACAAAAATGCCTGGAAAGTGAACGTCTTCATTATGAAGTAATTAAATTCGAATACGAATCGACTGGTTTCGGAAACGTTTCGCATCGGTCTGGACGAAAATTCTAGAGTTGCTTTGTGCAGGGAAACCCATATCTGGTCATGCCAGGAAGTACGTTGAGCTCTAACGGCCTGTCGATGCCTAGCTCCCATACCACCCGAAGGAAGCATGAGGGTATGTTATCCGAGCAGTACACGAGAGTACACTATACGATTGACCCTGGAGGTAGCTCAGTTGTCTGTTTCAACAAAGCTAGTCCATCAGTGATTCAACGCCACGAGATCACAAAAGATGCTGAATATAGTGAGAAGCGGTAAAGTTTAAAACAGAGTGTGCATATTTTGGTGACGTATCTTGCTGCCTTATGGAGCTGTGCTCAAGCGGGCCACACTGATGAATGGGAGTTGTTCTGGCACCCAGTTCACCGAAAATCATTCCGCAGATTTGTTCTCCCGACTGCCCGGTTCTTCAGTCCTATTACCCGAGCGTGTTGAAGGATGGTAGTATAGTTACCTTTTGTAACGTTATAGCCCTAACTGAGAGGTTTACTTACGGAACGCAGCATAGCATCCTTGCGCCGACACTCGTTTTGTAGAGCGCATTCCGTGAGGGTCTTCGCAGACCAGCGAGTATTCAAACGACCAACACCGATCGGTGTATTCGGGTTTCATTTTCTCAAATGCATGCCGTTGTGGTTTCCCATTATCTATACTGATGATGTTAGGTCAGAATGTCTGTGGTCGATGACTTATCATCATCATTAAGCAGAAAAGTGAAACATTGTCTCGGACGATCAACATGGTCACAGCTGCGATTTTTCTGTTAGGCGAGCAGCTACTGGCATAGTCGACCATCGTTTCATAGCCCATCCCCAGGGCTTATAGGTTACAAAGGTGATATCAGACTCTACAGCCGATGAAGACGTAAATTAGATTGTTTGTTCGAAACAGGACTAGATGTGAAGTCGCGAAAATTCCAATGCTAAGTTTTATTCAGAGAAAATACAAAGACTCAAGCGGAGCATTATAATACTGAGAAAGTTTTAAGGGTCACTCAGTCCGAGGCTTTGAATGGTGTTCTTCTTGGGGCGTGAAGATGTTCACTCCATTGCTGTATACCTTCCTTCACTTAAACACGCGACGTCGAAGTCAGTATTGCTGCACCATATTCTAGTGACACTGTGTACGCCTTGGACCCCAATTTTAACTACCTAACCATCCTGTGCAGCGTACACGTACGCATACTGCACCGATTTTTCGCGTCCACTCCTCCATTTACTTGATCATCGGTCAGCAATCTTCGAAATTTAAATTTCCCAGTCACGGACACATTTTTTCCGGGTATGCCATCTGTTGCCCCATTGAAGAATGCTGACAAACGTTTGGACTGGTTTTTTTCTGCGTCCGATTTACTTGATCGTAGACCTCTTGCGCGTAAGAATAAAGCAGAGCAGGTTTTAACCCTACAAAAGCATGTTGATCTGGCCTGTTGTGGAACGCAGGGAGATCCCAAGCGAGTGTAAACGTGTCCCTCTTCAATGCCAGATGGCGATCCGTCCACACATATTAGAGAAGCTTCCCAAATATTCGCACCGAATTATCCAAAAGTTTCCAAAGTAGGATTTTCGTTCCTATTTGCAGAGCAATCAATGGTTCTGGAAAATCGGTGTTTTCTTATTATTTACGCGTCGAATAAACAGTGCATGTAATAGAATACTTTTTGCATGGTAGTAAACATCACAGAGTATAGATGTGACGTTCCTTGACTCCACTGGAATGTCATTTATAAACGATATACACTTGCCATCAATGTTGCACGGATGTTTTGTGGAATGTAGTGTCAAAAACTACACTGTGTAAATACATTAGACTGCGCATGTCTGGTTATGGATGCGCGACTGAATATTTATTTCCACGTGAAAAAAAACGACGTGGCATTTAGTGCTTGGACATGTGTGTGCGATGTCCAAAGGAATGAACTCAATCGTAAGGAATTATTGTTAAACCGATCGATCAGTCAGTCAGGAATTCCGATTCTGTCCGTCTTGCCGTACCAACAAAATGTGGCTCATCTAAACATTCCGCATGCTTCCGGTGCAGTGCGCGATTTCGCCGATTTTGTTGGTCGTTCATCCCAAGAACCCGTTTCTGTTTTTGAGCTGTCCGTGGAATGTGATTGTTGATGTAGCTATAGTTGGTTTGTTCATCGTAGGTAAATTGTAGTTCAACTGATGCCCCGGATGTTTTAGGTGCGATCTTCCCGTCGGCTAATGGCAATCGGATGTTTGGAGTTTTCAGTACAGCAAGTTCTATGTTCGTTTTTGAGTGTACCAAACATATTTACGTATTGGTATGTCATGATTACGTCAAAAACAATATCCGAAATCATATGACCCTCGGTTGAAAGACTAGAGCCTAAAAGTGAAAGAACACTAACAGTCCTCATTCTTTGTGATTGTGGCCCATTTTCCACCTTATGACCGATACACATACTAGGATGTCCACTCACATTTCCGTTTAACACATTTCTATTGGGCTTTTCACTGCATACTTCGCAACTACGCTAGTGCATCGGACCTAACTGGATGAGATTAGAGAAATAGGGATTTCGAAAATATGTGGAATGGACGGATGGGTGAAGATAGGGTGAAAGCATTCGGCGGTGTCAGATGGCCTTACTGTAAATGCTTCGCGGTTAGTTTTAAAGGAACGAAGAATGGACGCATTGCAACAGCGCAATGACAGTCAAGTCTAGGGTAGCCTTCATCCTAAGTGAAGTCGCTGTATGCCTAGAAGTTTTATACATCTGTTTCATCGTTGTTTCAATCCATCGGCATTGCGCATCTGTTAGTAGTCGAATAATTCCATTTGTTGAAACAGTATCTTCCTTGGTCAGCTAAATAGCTCGCATTTAGCGAGATAATGGTCCTAAGAGATGTGTTTCTAATGACTACAATAAAAAATAATAATTGTTCAGCGGCAAGTCCATTTCGGTGCACAGCTATCAATCCACCCGAAGGAAGGACGCTCGCATTTGATAATGGTCCTAAGAGATGTGTTTCTAATGACTACAATAAAAAATAATAATTGTTCAGCGGCAAGTCCATTTCGGTGCAGTGCAC